CAAATACATTTGTCAAGCTACTAAAATAGCTCTACCAACTGTTACCACTAACAAGCACGAAGCGCGACATATATTATGTTAGCAACTAAATGTATTCTTACCCTTAATACCGATTTACTCTACATATGATAAAACAAGGGGTACTAGTTACTCTATCTATCAACCTACTCTAGGCTACAAAAATTACAGTGAGTACCTAATAATCTAATGATCTTATTATAAAAATTTCATGGCTAAAGCTATCATCAATTTGCCACAAAAATTCCTACAAATATTAGGCTAAATAATACTAAGCTTTCTAAATTGAATTTATGAACCTATCATTATCATAGCTAACTGTAAACTAACTACACCAATAGACAGATAGCATTTTTGTGAACCTAACAAATTGTGTTTCACTATTTTAGGACATCTATAGAATTTACTATCATTTTTCAAAGTTCAGCTCAAAACTAAATTGAATAGCATTTGTTAATTCACTGGAAAAGAAGAAACTAAACTTCACCGCGTGGCCCACTTCGCGGCTCGACCCATTCCCGCAATCACCCGCGCGTGCACCTGCGCAGCGCACCGGCATGACCCAACCCACGCGCGACAGCGGCCCATGGAGGAAAGACCCCCGCGCGCGCCGCATTATGCGAAAGAGCCCTCGGCTTCCAATCAAATGGAACCACGATCCATTCCACTATTCCCCTCTCTCGCTGACTCTCACACTTAACCCCCCAGTTTACATCGAATTCGCGTTACAACGTCCCTGGCTGGAACTCACCCGAGGCCACGGCATCTCCGGCCAAACGTCGGCGAGCACGGTCCTCCTCGGCCTCAACCAACACCTCCCTAGAACTCTACGAGCGAAGCACCATTGATAGAGGTATCATACACTAACAACGGTGCAGCGCATAGGTGTGGCCATGCACCGCGGCAGGGTCTGGCCGCGGCAACACCGGCGCCGGCGAATGTACTTAGCCCAACACCTCTATAGCTACCCTGTATCCATCTGTAGACTACGAGCAACAATGTAGAAGTCCTAATTGAATCACTACCACCCCAATCGCGCCGGCCACGGGAACGACATCCACACCAGTTCACCGGTGGCAGCGAACTCGTCCCGACGACCTAGACCTCAAGCGGTTCAACCATCTACCCTAGGAGCAAGAGGGCCTCACCAGAGACGCGTAGGGCAAACAGGACAAAGTCATGGAGCTCGGCAAGGTGGTTGGCCATGAGCTTGGGTGACTCGGTTCATAAAGCGTGGCGACGAGCGTCCCCGGTGACCTCTCGCTTCCACCGGCGAAGTCATTTGACAGGCGAGGCAAACCAATCAAGGAGGCACAAAAACCCTGCTCAATTGAGACAAATGAGCAAGGGGCGACATCCTGGCCGAGCGCCCGCCTCGGCGGCCATGGCGGACCGCCGCGAGAAGAATGCGCGCGCATTACCTCTTCATAGAATGGAAGCTTGCGAAAGCGACTCCAATTGTTGGCTAACTAACGAGGTCTAGTTAGGTGCACGATGAATTGAAAAGAGGTGGACTACACGATCAATTTGATGGACGACGACGTTCGGGCTTAATGGGGTCGACAGCGGGGAAAACTCAATTAAAGCCCGACATCGCATTGACGGCGGCAAGGCGGCAATCTTGGCACGAAGTGGACTCCCACTCGACCTCCGGGACGTGCGCAATTATGAAGCCGGGGCCAGCTCTGGTTATCGCTTGGCTTGGCGGCACGCACCGACGCAGCGCCATTGCGGATCGATGTGACGGTGGTCTGGCGTGGTGAAATTTTCAAATTGGAGAAGGACGGCAGCACGATGGTGAAGGCTCCACGTGCGCGTATGGGTCTGGCATGGTGACGTGCGACTGCAGCTCCACGACCCGCAAGGCGACGGTGGCACGCACGCACTACCGGCAGGTAGCGAAGGTAGACGTCGGTTCGGGGGCGATAGTGGGGCGATTCGACGCGACGCGACGATGGCGATGGCGGCGGCGAAGGCTCAAAGCGGACGTGTCGGCGGGCAGAGTGGCCAGGCTCGCTGGACCCCGCGTGCGCGTGTGCGTGTGGGTTGTGTGCGAGCCTTAGAGTAGCAGTGGGCGTGTATGGCGGCGGATGTTGTGGAACCCTGCAGCCAGCGGCGTCGCGTCTGCGCGTCGGCAATGCGGCAACAACACCGAGCATCGGCAGGGTGACCGCGACCAAAATGCTGGCACTGTTAAAAAATGTGACTTGCACGCTTTTTAAAGCTGCTCAAAAACCCAACTCGAGGATCCAGTAGCTAAACCAACTATTTTACGTTCGAGATGGTGTATCAAGCTACTAAAACCAACCTTAAGACCATGCCACCGCTTAACCCAATTCTCCTATAAAAATTGTCGAACTTAGCTCCATCGAACCATTTTCCGACTTAAGAAACGACTAAGTTATTTGTTCGGATTCGCGTCACTTTCGATTTCCAAGCTACCAACTATGCTATCTAGTGAACCCCATTCCCGACCACAAGTATTTCACCGCCTCCTACGAAGTTTGTACTACCAACTTTATCAAAGTTTCGTCTATGCGTTCTATAGCATTCTCGTTCAATAAAAATTCGTTTAGAACACTAAGTGATACAACGCGACATGAAATGTAACATTCGTTTTGTGTTTCCGATGAACGCTTCAAGTTCCATATATTGTTTTACACCCTATATTACACACATTTACACATAAGTATGATGCTCATGTAGTGTTTTAGTAAAAACTGTATAGTGTAACACCGAGGGTGTTACACATGGCAAGCGCCACGGATCTACGCCAGGATACGACAGTCAGAACATGCCCGGTGACTCGCGGGAGTGGCAGATGGGTACCTCTGCGGAGCTGCCTCGAACCTCGCGGAGCACGACCTTGTCGAGGTCGTTCACGCCCTTGCAGTGCCTGACAGGCGCTGCCTCCTGCTTCTCCTCGCCCGCCGGCGGTGACGATGTCGAGGCCGACATGTTGTCCTTCCGCCGGACCGAGCCACAGCGAGCACCGCACGCCGAGGCTAAGCGGAGCGGTGGAGCTGGAGGGAGGGAGAGGAAGCGGAAGTGGAGAGAGGCAGGCAGGCAAATGGGCTGGCTTGAGGTTGATTTGGGGAATTTCCAGACAACGCCCCTATGCGTGTGTGTGTTGGTTTTTTGAGAGAGAGCGGATGAGTGAATGAGGATGAGCCGTATCTGGATGGAACGGATGCCCGTGGGCTAGCATTATTGTTATTGTTATCTCTTTCCCTGCGGTGCAACAAAATAAGGTCATTTTTAGTCATTTTATACACACAAAATACTGCTTCTTTTAATTTTAGCCCACGCATATCCTTAATTAAAAGATAAGGTAATGCCAGCACATCCTCCGTCCCCATTTAATTGTCGTTTTAGCCTTCTACCACATACATGCAAGATTCTTTGAACTTGGACATATATGACAACTATAGGTACATAAAAGATGCTTTGAATTTAGACTACCAGAAACACGGCTACAACGCTACATACATGGGGACGGAGGGAGTGCTCGATCCCATACACCACCTCCAAGCACGTCGGGAGCCTGCTGTATATAAAGCGCTGCCCACGAAGCCTCATGGCACAAATGATGAGTGACAAGGGAAATATACCTAGGCCAAGGATGATGGCTATGCTAAAGAGCACGAGTGCTTCTGCCATGGCATCCCTTCTCCTTATTCTGCTGCTGCTGCCCGTCGCACTCCCCGCGGCGGCAGCCCAATGCGTGAAGATCTACGCGATCGTCAACCACAACCCCACCAACTCCTGGGAATTTACCCTCCACTAAAGGGACATCTCCCTCCAAGAGAAGATATAGTGCATGTCGATTTTTCGCAATGCAGCTTGAGTTGAGTGAGGACATGTGCACCCTACTCGGCTTAATTTGGGTCCAGCATGTCGATTTAGAGCCTTTTTTTTGGCAGGGCTCTTGAAATAGAGAGACTCTAGCTCTAGCTCTAGCAGGACCTACACCAACCGCACATTCTCAAAATAGTGTTTTGTTCATTGATTGGTTACGTAAACGTAGACGGTAAACACAGAGTGGATTTGTTTACTGGGGAAATGAGGATTTGTCGCTAAGTTGGTGTTTCCTTCGCTGCCCTGCTATATATAGTAGATCCGCATTCACACTTACCGCCACGGGCTGAGCTCGCCGCTAGATCTGGACCAGCCGTCCTTGCTCCCGAGATTGGCTCCCTTCGCCAGCCGAATGGTCGGTTCGCAGGGCCAGGAAGCCAATTGTAGTCACCAGGTGTGTGTGTGTGTGATTATAAGACAATGCTTGAGGTTGACTAGACTTTGCGATTCTGTAAATAAAACCCAAGAATGTGGTGCCTCCCGCTACCGTACATCCAACTTTGTGTTAACTATCATCATTTCAATCTCACCTTCCGAATCCATAGCTCAGCTACAGATGCTCTTGTTCATCTGGAGTAGGTTTCAACTTTGGCATCCATACCGCGGTTACCCATTATCAGAAATTACAGCTAATTTCGTAGGCAAGCAGCAGCTCAGAGTTGTTAAGTACAACAAAATATATTATAAGATATTGCCATTATATATAACCAGGCTATCTCTGCAGCAATCAATCAAATTGACACCAATTCACGGCTATCTCTAATTCATATTATCTGTTCTTTACATGTAAGGCCTATCCCGAATTGCAGAATAGTTTTTATACAAAAAAAAAAAGAATTTGCAGAATAGTTAAAAGGGTGTAAGAAGATGGTATGGGGCAACGACTACAGATCTCAGTTACAACAGCAAAAAATCATATCAATCCTCTGACTCCAGATACGAGTACTTCATTAGGCAATCTAACTAATTACAGGGGAGTGTGTCAGGCGATGGCAGCTGTATGTTGGAGCAGGAAAAAACCCTGACCTATTCAGGATCAGGAATGGCTACTTGTGAGGACATGCCTGTTTGGCAAGTATAAAGCAACTGTACAGATGCTGCTGTTTCTCTATATTCAAGTTCAGCTACATGAAGTATGTGGACTGTTGTGTCGGTAGAGTCTTCTTCTTTCTCGACCCGCTGCCGCTTCCAAATTCATCATTCCACTCAGAAATTTGGGCCATGGTTTCTGAATCAGATGGAACGCTAGCACACACCTACAGTGAAAAGCTCAACTGATTATCATGTGCTTATAACATGTGCTAAGGGAAAAGGTAATCTTAACAGTAGAAGTGCCCATAGCATGCCAGAAATAGGTAGAAATTAACTATTCCTTCACCTGTCCAAGCGCAAATTTCAAGTCATCCATTCCAAGTGGGCGAATGTCCTTCTTTCCATACAACGGAGGCTCAGGTCTACCTTCAGCTATTGCCAGACTCTTCTCCTGTATCAAACAAATGATATTTTAGAGCTACCAAGAGACAGAGATGGTGTGAGATGCATCAAAACGGCTAAACCATAGATGGAGGTTCTGCGCACACCTTCTTTTCCTTCTCAATAATTTCACGAATGGGACGATGTGCCGCAGTTACACAGAGATTCTGCAGGGAAGGGATCATTATGATAAGTTTGCAATCCCTTCTCATTTCTGAAGAGTCTTAAGGCACAGCAACATACCTTCAAGTCACTTCCTGAATATCCATCAGCCATTTTGGCAATTGATTCAAGATCCACATCTGGTTCTAATGTTTCTTTGGATAGTATTACTTTCAAAATCTTTTCTCTATTTGACTTGTCAGGAAGGCTCACCATTAATCTGCCAATAAGACTTGGTGCAAAGAGTTAAGGAATGGATACAAAATCAGTCTAGTTCAGGGGATCATAAAAGCTTACCTGCGAGGAAACCTTCGAATAACAGCATCATCAAGGTCAAATGGCCTATTTGTGGCTCCAAGAACGATTACGCGTTCTTGCTCTTTAGTATGCAAACCATCCCAATGTATCATAAATTCATTTTTCATCTTGCGCGTTGCCTCATGCTCCCTTGGTCCTCCCCTTATTCCTAGCAAACTGTCAACCTGTTATTAAAGGAAAAGACACAGTTGTGAGTGCAAAACACAGAATAAAACAATGGACAACACATTTGCTTGCACACCTCATCAACAAATATTACTGCAGGAGATAGTTTACTAGCTAGAGAAAAAATGGCCTTGACGTATTTCTCTTGATCTCCAACCCACTGAACAAAAAAAATAAAATTGTCATCAGATTTAACGGAACATCTTCTGACCAAAAAATAGCACCCAGAACCGAGTTTCTGCACCCCCTCCAATGCGAATACCAACTGTTTCTGTTGAATAGTACCTTTGAGGTAATGCTTGACATTGATACATTGATAAAGTTTGCACCTGCCTCAGTTGCTACTGCTTTTGCAAGCAATGTTTTACCTGTTCCAGGAGGTCCAAAGAGCAGTATTCCCTTCACAGGCTGCCAGAAAGAAATGCATTGGTAGTACTTCCAAATGTAACTGATAGTTAGTAGGCAAATATGTCGGGCCACTTTGCTCTTTTAAAATTAGGCGAGCACCTTTGTTAGCTGCCCTTTGCTGTACAATTCAGATCTTTGCAGAGGGAGCATTATCAATTCCCTCAGTGTATCTTTCAAATTGTCCAGGGCTCCAATGTTCGCAAAGGTAACTCCAGTGTCATTAGGTGAGATAATATTTGATAGAAGATTTTTCTCAAATTCATTCTCTGTGACCACATCCTGAAAAAACGACTTGCATGAATTTGAGTATCAGGGACTTGTAACCAGATATATATAGAGATGGATGGGTCACCATTAGTGCATTCTTTGATCTCTTAGCTCCACTCTGTGCAATCTGTAACATACTGAATCCATGCTTGAGCCTGTATCCACAATGCTACTTAACATTCCACAGAAGGATCAATTGATGTTTATATTAGCATCGTATTTTTACCTTTCGATTGGAAGTACCCATTTGCCATCATTTGGGGGTTCACTGTCATGAAGGTGATAACTAATAGCATATCCAACAATCTTTTCCAAATCTGAAGTAAATCAAAACAATATATATTTTTTTACAATAGTGTTATTATTGAAATGAAAAGGATGAAAGAATTGGTCGATGAGAAGGTAGAAACACCTTACCTTCATTAGTTAGTAATTGATCTTTGATAGGTAATTCTTGAAGATCATTGCATTCAATTCCTCTGCTGATCAGAAACTACAATGACGAAACATTGTAAGAGACATAACATTTGTTCGGGAGGTTCACACTTCAGATCAGGGATGGAATGAACAGCTGAAGATGTGGCCATAAAAGGTATTGGCCTATCAGGGACTAGCATTCTAGCAAGTATTGCTTCAAATTTCAAGGCCATTTCCATGATGATATTATAGAAGAAAGCTAATAAGGAAATAAATTTCAAGTGCATATAACATTAAAAAAGGAATATACAACTCGAATCAAGTATGAAGTATCAATGTATCATAAAATTCTATTTCAGAATCACTTAAGTGTGATGGTACACATTGTTTACATTCCAATAAAATGTTATACCTTAATTGCAGCTTACCTTACGAATATTAAGAATATTGGCTTTAGCTCTAAGGGTTTCAGTATCACAATCTAGTTGTTTCTTGAAATCAGATAGCTGTGCTTCATTCTGCCCAAAAAACGTATATAAAAATCTCCAGGTTAAACAAAGTACCATCAACATGCACAATGTGTAACATAAGTGCCTAAGGATGACAATACCTGGGGAAGTTTAATGCAAATTTTATTAGGGAAAAGATTATTTAGATGCTCCATTGACTTGGTAGGACATTTGCTTCTGTCTTTCAAGGAATCCATTGGCTTGGTAGGAAATTTGCTTGGGAAGGTTTCCTGCATTTTTTAAACATGCATTAAAAAACGGATCAAACATAATTGATATTGTACCACTAAATGCAAAAAAAAACTACAGCAGGCTTAAAAATATTAACTGTTGCATGTCAAGAAATTTTATAGACCCACAGAAAAATAATATGCAAACGGATGAAAATGTTACCATAATAATATCAAGCAGTGCCTGGATGTCTCTAGGAAGCCCCGGAACTCCAGGATGAGACTAGAAAACAGTACAGAGCACTCTGTTACTGTTAACATTTTTCACAGAAATAGGGAAAGCATGGAAATATAACTTCACACCGACTTGTTACTTCAATGATAATTCAAGGACAAATAACCTTTCAGGGACAGCCTACATGTAAGCATTTTGTCCAACTCTAACCCAAACATGCTTCATCCTTTATGTCTTGACAACTTCTAATCCAAATTTCATTTTGTTCCCTAATAGGTGCACAAGTATACCTGATCCTTGCGGTTCTCTGCATGAATCTGAGACCCAATTATCAGAACACCAGCAGGAAGTTCACTTAGTGATGTATGCAATTCTCTACATTCGGTGAATGATTTCTCTACATCCTTGAGTAACACAATCAAACTACTGCTTTTGCTTTCTTCTGAAATGACCTGAAAGGCATTGAAAACCAAAACCATGTTGTTACAGGCAGTTATAAGGGAAAAAAAGTGTAGTGAGGATGATCGCCTATAACAGCCATTACCTCAATTAACTTTCCTAAAGCAATGCTATCAACTCCACCAGAAGAGTCTGGCGAAGTTCCAAAGCTGAAGAAATGTTGAAAACTTATCTCACATAAGATTACCACAATATACATTGCTTAAGAAGTTCAGAGTTCAGACTAACCATGACAAAAGAAGCCATGATTTTCCTCGCATAAACCTCCAAGATCATTACCATCAGTTACAGGATTGCTAAATCTAACTCCAACTTTGGAGGACCGGTTTTTCCAAAAGCAAGCACCACTTTGCCTCGAGAACCACAAGAAGGGCCCCTGTGAATCAACCAAACGACTCATCAGAATGAGAAAAATGTATCTCAGCAACAAAATAATCACATGACCACCACAACAAAAAGATTAATCAGTGTCAACAAAAAGATTAATCAATATCTAACTACATCAAGTCCTCTCTGATTTCAATTCAAGTTCATGTAACTCAAATTCGGAAATCATACACTCAAAAAGATATTTAGTCAGAAGAAACGCCATTTTGAGTCTGTAAAATGCTATTGCTTCATAAATATGTTCCTTCCACTGATACTAGAATAAGGTTGAAAGATATCCTCATTTCAAGTCTGTCAAAGCTCAAGAACACAAGGGGTTCCAACATTCACTGTCCGGGTCATACAAATTAACTCCACTTCATAACTCCACTTCAGAACACATCTGGCAAAATGCAATCACAAAAAATCCATAGAGATCTAAGACACACCATTGCTAAGTTAAAATGAAACACGAAAGCATAGCTCTCAACAAAAATACCTTGGTGCCAGATTTAATGAACTAGTACCAGTATACTCTACCCAATCACCTGCATAAGAAAAAAAGATGTAAAGGTTCAATTAAAGAAAGAGTTAAATGTTAATATAGAAAAATAAAAAACGGGCAACAAAAAACCTTCTTCGAAAGTGTGTCTGTTGGATGTCCCCACAATATCATCTCCTGAACTAGAAGGTGCAACATCCCTCCGGACATCCTTTATGGACTCTCCAAACTTAGAAGACGTCTGCTAGAATATTATCTCTTAATCAATAATATGCATGTTTCTGCTTACATATTGAGGAGTTGAAAACTTGAAAAGTTTGGTAAAATTTTGAACTGTGTATATCAGTAAAGGGAGCTCATGTAGAACTTACACCACACAGCATAAGAGAATCAAGTATCAGAAGTCTAGCATCAAAACGCTTTGAAAGTGCCTTTATCAATCTTTCCTGGTAAATTTCAGACCCTAGAAGCAAGTTTTTGCCAAATAGTTAGAGACATACAGAAAAGCAAACACCAAGAAATTGCCAGCTAGGCATAACAGTGTGTGTAACACAGCTCCGTGACATTATTTTGTCACAACAAAATAAAAAATTCATAAAAATTACCTGGTGGGCCAGATAACAGAATTCGCTGGTCTAAAGGTGAAAGTTTTGGTAAGAATTTCCTAGACTTCTTTTTCATGTGTATGAATGCAGATGATAAGAGTATCTCCTTTGTGCTCTCACTGCATGAAACGAGCACAGATTAATAAAAAAAAGGTGGTATTTAGGACCAAGCCACCAAAACTATAGCAAAGGATAGATTGCTTTGGCCCAATTATTTTGGCAAAATACTGAAATCTGATGAACAAACAGAAAAAGTTCAGAGAAAAACTGGAAGATAACAGAGCTCTTAATGAAAATACACAAGACTGTATAATCTAGAACTAGCATATTACCTGAGATAATATGGGAAATTATCAAAGGTTACTTCAATATCCTTTGGGCTCAGAATCTCTTGTTTCAGTCCATCCTTAAAAGCTTGCCATCCGCTCGGAGGCAAAGAAGCTGATGGACTAGACCTGATGCAATCGCTCTGATTTTCAAGAGCTTCAAAATTCACCCAGTCAAGTCAACCTCAATTAAAGTTGGTCCTACAATATCCAAACTGATCATACGTAATTAATTGTAATCTTACCAGATCCGACTACCCTCTGGTTATTCTCTCCAGCCGATCCAGCAGTAACTTCATTACCCCTTAGAGGATGCTGAAAAATCTGCCAGCATGTTATGGATCACTCAAGATAGGAAGTCAAACTAACAAATCTGACTCATTATATCATTGCTGAAGTACCTATTAGCATCCAAATCAATAGAGAATGGACAGAAGAATGAAATGGACATGTATGGTGTATGAACAAAATTTGATAATGTATGGATACATAGGCATGCTTGCCACATTGACCGAAAACAACTTCATCCCCTCCTATGAGGGGAACTTTGGAGTCTCTTCCAGTTTTTCTTTTATTTACTGCAACCTCACCATTTTTTCCCGTGACCTGTAACTCACATGAACCTCCTTGCTGGAAAATGAAAAAAAAAAGACCAAGTTTATGCAAGAAGTCAACAAACATAACAAATAACTGCATTCTAACAAAGGAGAAGCATAAAGGACCTCAAGACGCCGCAATATGCATAGTTCTTGACTAACAGTTTGGTCATCCAACCATATGTCACTGTTTTTATCGTTACCAACAGAAATTTGGTTGCCAAAGATAGGAACATGGGGGGTCTGCAATCACAGATGGTTGATATTCAACATCAGTTAATATCAAATGAGCAATATGGCCTGATTAATTAAGGTAAATTAAAAAAACAAATGCACAAGTTACAAATAGACTGAGGAATGTTTTCAGCTGATTGATCACAAAATAAAAGAGGTAACTCAAAATTTATGAACCATGACGACAAAATTACAGGTTCTCACACATTTGAGATGCAGAAAGATCCCATGAAGATTAAATACAGACTTTCTTGCAGTCACCACACCGAGAAGAATATTTAAGACGTCCACCTACGTTTGACCTTCTACGAGTGTTTTATAATAAAATCAGAAATGGTGGTTTAATAACTCCATTAGAACATGTCCTTGTCCTAAAAACCATTATGATCCCTACGAAAGAGAAACGACAACGGTACAACTTTCGGAATAATCCTAATACCCCAATCAAGGAATTCCTCCGGACCAAGAAACCACTGATAACTAACGGATTCCAAGAACATTCAAGAAACTGCACAGAATGTGGACACTGTTCTGCACCAGCAACCAGAAATGCAGAACACGTGGACTTGATGCAAGGCGCTAAAAGTAAAAGCTAGAACCCCAAGACCACAAACAAACAAATTGCACAAATGCCGTACAGGTTCCCGAACCGATGCACAGAATGCATGTAGGCTCCGAAATGGCACAACGCAGACGACCAAACGGCAAGAACCGTCAAGAAGCCGCTTCAGATCAAGAATCCAGGGAAGAACCACCAGGAAGACCCGAAGAGCACAATACGGAATGTTGGCTGGCGCCCAAGTAAATGTCGAGAGTCAAACTGTCAAACCCAACACACGCACGCACCTGAGAGCACTGCGAAAGCAGCTTCGCCCACGGTTTGGGGCCCGAGCGCGTCCCCGCCGCCGGCGCCGCCCCAGCTTCGGGCGCGGAGGCCTCCGACGCCTTCTCCGCCTGCGATTCCAGTCCACGTCAGCTCCATCCAACCAATACCGTATTCCCGCTTTGCGCTTTGTGGAGGAGGAGGAGCTCGAGTTCACCTTGCCGCGCTTGGTCGGCGAGAGCAGCAGGGAGGACGATGCCGCCGGGCGCTTCGCGCCGCCGCCGCGCTTCCCTCCACCTCTCCCTCCGCTGCGAGTCGTCACCATGGCGGCCGGCCGGCGACGAGGGCGGGGGCCTCGTTTCGTTTTCCGGCTTTCCGCAAAAGGCAAGGGAACGGAATGGAAGCCGAAGCCGAAGCAGAAGCCTCCGTGGATTCGCGTTCTGCTTTTTTTTTTATTAGGGGGGGAGGTGTTGGCCCACCTGTCAGCTTCATATACGTCGCAAGCTCTCGCTTTCTTTAGGGGGTGTTTGGATCCTGCTACTAAAATTTAGGAGGTATGTCGGGAGAATATTGCATGGGGTATTCGGATACTAATAAAAAATAAATTACATAATCTGTCAGTACTCTATGAGACGAATTTTTTAAGCCTAATTAATCCGTCATTAACACATGGTTATTGTAGCAAAACATTGTCAAATCATGGACTAATTAGACTTAAAAGATTCGTCTCGCAAATTAGTCGTAAACTATGCAATTAATTTCGTAATTAGTCTATATTTAATACTCCATGCATGTGTCCGAGCATTCGATGAGACAACGACTAAAATTTAGGAGGGGCAACCAAACACCCCCTCAGAGGGGAGGATTCTCTGTTCGTGTTTGTGAGTTTGTGACCCTTTTTGTGGTAGTTCTTTTTTTTTAGGCTTTTATAGTAGTCTGCTACTAGTGTACTTCCCATTATTTATCACAAGCCCGGCGTTTGACCAATTTGAACCTTTTGGCCATGTGCACACTTAACACTTTTTTTTCAGGGAGATGCTAGCACCCGGACTTGCAGTGCTCAGGATGTTTTCGGACGCAGCTCCCCACCAGCCAACTGTTATGCGATTCCACCAACCGTGCACTGGTGTCGCGGCCCACCAACGGAAGTTCAATCTCAGGCTGCTCGAAGCGGTATCCCCGCCCTGCCCGTGTAACAGAGAAGGGGAGAGCGTGTGCTCGCATCCGTGCAGCCATCCCCCGGTAGTAGGAGATGAGAGAGATGCAACATCCGATATACTTTCGAAACTTACAGATGCAACACTTGCAACATACGTATGAAAACAGATGAAACACTTAAAACATGCGTTTGAAACATTTGCAAAAAAACACTTAAAAACACTTGAAACCATTGTAACCATACGCAACATCTAGATAAAACACTTGCAACATATATGTGAAACATATGCAATATTTAGATAAAACATTGTTGCAACGTACGTCTGAAAAAACAGATGAAACATTGAGAACAGACATTTGCATCATACGTGTACAAACATTGCAACATATGAAATATCCCGATCTACTTTTGCAACATCCATATGAAACACTTGCAACATATCTCTACAACATCTACAACACTTGAAATAGACACTTCCAACCCACACTTTCAAATGCAACATCTACTTGCTGCTTACCAAATGGAGGCTCACCGGCGTGTGGAGTTCACCAGTGGCAGCCACGCCATCGCCACCATCGACTAGATCGGCGCCGTAGTCCCCACGACCACCAGATCTGGTGGAAGGAGCAGTGAGGCAGAGTGGGGTGGAGGCGCACAGCGCGCGATGTGGGCGAGTGGCCACCCTGCCGTGGGGCTGCACTGCTCGTCTGGGCCACCGCCGGGCCGGTCGTGCGTAGCGCGCGGAGGTGGCTGCGCTTTGGGCCTCCCGCTGTGCCGCCACGTCGGGAGAGAGGGAGAGAGAGAGAGAGATGAAGGAGAGGCTGGGGCGGGGATGCAGGCGGTGCGGAGCCAGTGGCGTCGACCAACGAGGGTGGGGCGGCGGCGGATACGAAGCGGAGTGCGTGTCGATGGTTTCTTTTCCTCTTTTTGGGGGATGCAAGCGAGCGGTGCTGTGCGATGTGGGTGAGCGGCATGAGCGGGTTGGTCCGGACGAACGGACAGATGCCCAGGTCTAATCATTATCATTTTTGGAAACGTTCTCCTTTTTCCCAAGTGAACCTTGCTCACACTTGAAACTTAACCATATGACTTTATGAGATCTAGCTAATTTTAAAGAAGTATTGGCAAGTAAACAGCATTTTGGTGCAACATCATTGTTTTTTTCCCTGTTATGTTCTTAACTCTTCTAATTATGATTTTACCCTTATTATTTAACTTTATCATTTTGTCTCTATTTTTTTCTAAAACAAAGGCGGACTTCATCCATGTTAATGTTAGTTTAGCTAAAAAGACTAGTTTTTCTATGTGAACTTTTCCGAAGTTTTTTGGTACCCTGTAGTTTTGGCATCAAATATTTGAACAACATTTCTAAAGAATTTTTACACTAAAATTTATAAATATTCCAATTCTAAGCAAAGTTTAATAAGTTTCACATACTTAATCAACCACCAGCAGGAGTTAGTATAAGGTAGGGGTTAGTATCGTGTTTTAATTTTTTATTTTCTTTAATTCATTTATTCGACCTTCGAGTTAACAGTGTCTAGAACATGGATGAATAGTGCTTTAGATTCAAAAAACAATAATAAAATCATAAAGTTAAGAAATGAACACCAATCTTTTCTTTGGTCACTCCTTACAGTCATCTGTGATTTAAACTAGTATTCACATTAATAAGCCCCATGATAAGGTTTACTCACTCCATTCTCTTTTAAATGGCACAACTTAACATGACATGTTCTCCCAAATTACACTTTTACCATATATTTATTTTTATTATTTTTTATTTTTATTATTTATACTTATAAGCTTATGATAATTGGATAGTAGATTTAATTACAAATCTAACTATATCAAGTTTGTGTTATAATAATTTAAAATTGTTATTCAAATTATCGATCAAAGATCTCGAAGTTTGAATCTTTATATACGTCATGCGTGTGTACCTTATAAAAGAGAACAGAGGTAGTAATAAAACACGGATCACATAGGCTAGTAATAATGTTGCAGTCAATCAACTTTTCATGTCACAAATCTGACAAAACGTTGTTTTTGGTAGAGAATCAGTTTCTGTTTGGTAGGAATTGTATTATCTCCAGAGAAAAATATTTTTTTTAAAACAAAAACTACAGGGCCTCAATGGGCTTGGATTCCTTAGAATATATTTTGAATCGAAGCAGATCCGCTGTGGTAATTTACTGCCGCTTCTGCTCCAGAGGGGTGGGCGGGGGATTCTTGCTGCCACGGTGGCCGCCGAGAGTCTCCACGAGCGTGTCGTTTCCCTTGGTTGCCAGGTAGAGGCATCCGGCTGTGCGTGCTGTGGTGGTCGTCGGCGTCGGCCGCCAGGGTTGTTGGCCGTACTGCCGTGACGATGCTCGTGACCGGCGAGGTCATTGGCGCGGATCAGCTAGTGGGCCCAACCTTGGGTCACGTGCGGTCTCTTGCTTCTCCTCGAAGACCTCACGTGGACACATACGCTACCGTGTCTTGACAGTCTCTTCTTCTCTGTTTCAGTCAAGTCTCGCGGCACAAGCTAGACCGGTTTTAGCACGGTTTCTGTCCCAAGGTGGATTCCTAGCTTGCGTCGGAAGGTAACTACGATGTTGCTTGGATAGAGCAAATTTGCGGTTCTTCAATGACAACTTCGATTTCCTATATCTGAAATGGTTATTGTTTGTGTCTATGAAGATTACAACATATTTTAGGCTCCTGCAGCGCCGCAGCGTACAAGGGAGGCACTTGAAAGTTGGAAGTCTGTCTCCATTGCCTGAAGATAGTAGTGTTCGCCGTATTCCCAATGGGACATCTTGAAGACTTTCCGAGGCTTTTGTGGGATTTGACGTCGATGCCCGGATACTCTCCTTACGAGTAGTTAAGGATTTATATCATGTTGCTAGGTGTTTGTTTCCATATAATTGAGGATTTTTTATTCCTAATCTTTGTACTCTGGGTTTAATGGTATAATCTATATGTCCTTTTTTTCAAAACGAAAAAAGACACCCTAAATTAGGTACTCTTCACTTTAATTGTGCAACTTACTCGTTACTTGTTTTATTTTTGATAACCTACTCGTTACTTGTTGGAGGTAGATGACATCTCAGAAGGCTAGAAAAAATTACGGTAATACTGGGGTTAGGACATCCGGTCGTCCCTGCCCGTCCGGACACGTCTTCCGGATGCCCCAATAACCCCCTTAAATCTCATCGTCCATTTCTAATAAAAAATCCGCTCGTCGCTCCTATCCGCTCGCCTGCCGCCTCCGAAGAGCATCGCTCGGCCACTGGACTACCGGCCCTGCCTGCCAGGCGCGGCGTGTGGCCGCCTCTGAGCCACGACGCTTGGATGCCGGCCCTACCTACTAGGCGCGGCGCTCGGCCATCAGACTACCGGCCCGGCCTGCCAGGCGTGGCGCGCGGCCGCCTCTGTGCCGCGGCTGCCCTCTGCCTCCTTGCCGCGTCACGTGGCTGATGCCTCCTTGCCGCCTCGTGTAGCCGCTACCACTGGCTCGCCGCCTACAAGCGCTGTCGGCCCGCTGTCTCCGGCGAACTCCACACGCCGACGGGCCTCCATTCTCCCAAGCAACAAGGAGATGTTGCGATGTGCTAAAAATGCATGTTGCAAACATATGTTTCATGTGTTCCAGGTGTTTCATAGGTATGCTACAATTGTTTCATACAGGCGTTGCAAGAGAAGATTGAGATGTTGCATATGTTGCAATGGTTCTACACGTATGTTGCAAAGGTCTATTTCCAATGTTTCATTAGTGTTTTCGGATGTATGTTGCAAGTGTGTGTTTATCTTAATGTTGCATACGTGTCAAACATATGTTGCAAGTGCTTTATCTGGATATTGCGTATGTTTTGCAATGGTTTTCAAGTGTTTTCCAGGTGTTTTTTTGCAAGTGTTTCGGAAGCATGTTTGAAGTGTTTCATCTGCCTTTAGACGTATGTTGCAAGTGTTGCATCTCGATGTTTCAAAAGTAAATCGGGTGTTGCATCTCCCTCGCCGCTTTAATTTTCTACTGCCTCGCATCGGTGTCTTCTCCTCCTCCGGGCGCGGCTGGGCATCTGCCGCCTCCTACTCCTCTTTCCGATGCTGGTGACGTTCACGACGGCGCGGGGAACTTACGTCGGAAGCAGATGGGGAGAGCGCAGGCGGTCTCCGCGCGG